AACTTAAAACTGTGTGCTATGCCGATGTCATTTAGTAAGGCCTTGGATAGAGTAAACCATGATCTTTTGTTGCACAAACTTTATATAATGGAATTTAATAATTGCTGTTTGAAGTGGATTAAATCTTATCTTAAATGCAGTCAACAGTGTGTGTGTTTCAATAATTGCTTATCCAGCAATATTGTAGTCATCTCGGTCCAATATTATTCTTATTGTACATAAATGATCTTCCTACCATATTAACGTTTTCCAATATCCTTATGTATGCAGACGATGTAAAATTGTTTTCAAATTCTGTTCACTCCATTGTCCAGCTTCATTTACAAGAGGACTTAAACAATTTTTTCGATTGGTGCCAAATCAACCTACTGGATATTAACTTGAAAAAATGTAAACATATGGGATTTTCCAGAAAAAATACCCGAATTGGCTGATATTTCCTTGGGAACTACAAGTTGGAGACTGTTGATATATTCTGTGATCTAGGCGTATTATTCGACACAAAGTTATCCTTTATCGAACATATTAAAATGTGTACTAATAAAGCTCGCGGTGTACTCGGTTTTATTAAACGATGGTCTAAAGAATTTACTGACTTATCAATAACGAAACAACTTTACATTTCCCTGGTAAGAACTACTCTCGAATATGGTTCAATCATTTGGGACCCTTATTATAACATCCATAGTGACCGTATTGAATCGGTTCAAAAACAGTTTTTGTTACTTGTATTACGGAGCTCATACCCAAATCCATCGATATATCTTCCGCCTTATAGATTGCAACTCAACTTACCACTTTGAAAAGCCATCGAATAATGCTGAATGTGACTTTTGTTATCAACCTTATTAATGGAAATATTTGCTCAGAGTTCCTTCTCAACAACTTATCACTAAATGTTCCTCAACGTCTTTCTCGTTATTACCAACCTCTGTCAATTCGTTATTATTAACAAAAATATGCTAACGCTGACCCTTTGCGGCGAATATGTTTACATTTGTATGATTTGTACAATATGACTGATACTACTTTGAATGTCAATATTATTAAACGTAACTTAATTATATATTTGAATAGTTTATATTGAATGTTTTTATGTAATATTTTCTTACTTTTATCTGTAAGGAGCAATTTAGAGTGCTATATTCGGCTGAGCCGAATCCTTAATAATACGTTTTTAATTGATCAAATATTTGTAGAAATAAGTTTTCTCATGTCTTAAATAGAAAAACTCCAAGATTTAAACAGCTAAAATCTGTTACATTCAAAGATTTATTGAACATTACAAACCCCATTTTCTTTTATATTATTATAGCGCCCTAAGATATGCTTTAACGATATTTAATAATGTGCATTTGTGTGAAAGATTTAAGGATTTTCAAAATACATATATATAAATTTGTTCTACACAAATTGATAATGCAACTAGTTAAATACGGTTAAATTGCTTTTAGGGGCAGGACCTAGTTTGGGAGATATGACAAATTATAGACCGATCGTAAAAAATTATTTAAGCAAAATTTTTGTACATAAAAGCTATATTTCAGTAAAATTTTGTATCTATATCGTAATTTAGTAATAATTAATGTGTGTTCAAGTGATTTTCTGAAGGAAACCTTGCATGGGACCGACCGCACCCATGTTATGGACCGATCGTGAAAAAATATTGAAATAGAATTTTTGTATACCAAACAAATATTTGTGCCAAATTTTGTATCAATAGATTTGGTAATGAGTAATGTGCGATTAAGAGATTTTCGTAAAAGGACCTTGTATGGGAGCTATGACCAATTATGTATATAAAGACAAAATTTCAAAATTCTGTATCTATATCATTATTTGGTAACGAATATTGTGCATTTACGTGATTTTCTGGAGAGGGCCTAGTACGAAAGCTATGACCAAATATGGACCGATCGTAAAACAATTTTATAGTGTAATTTAGGTATATAAGATCAATATTTGTGCTAAATGTATGGATATCAATATTTTGTAATGAGTTATGTGGATTTAAATGATTTTCGGGAGGGAACCTTGTATGGGAGCTATGACCAAAGATGAACCGATCGTGAAAAATTACAAAAATAGTATGTATGCCAAATTTTTTATGGGTATCACTATTTAGTAATGAGTTAAGTGCTTTTAAGTGTTTTTCTAAAAGGGACCTTGGATGGAGCTATGATCAATTATGAACCGATAAGAAAACAATTTCACAGTAATATTTCTGTATATATGTATGAGCAATACTAGTGTCAAACTTTATATGGATATATTAATTTAGCAATGAGTTATGCGCGTTTAAGTGATTTTCGGGAGGGCCCCTTGTATGGGAGCTATCACCAATTATGGACCGATCCGAAAAAACTTTCATAGTAATATTTTTGTATATGTGAGCAATACTTGTACCAAATTTTATATTTATGTATATCTTAATTTAGTAATGAGTTATGTGCGTTTAAGTGATTTTCGGGAGGGAACCTTGTATGCTACGACCAAAGATGAAACGATCGTGAAAACATTTTTAAATAACATTTCTGTGTACAAAAATAGTATGCATGCCAAATTTTTTATGGGTATCACTATTTGGTAATGAGTTAAGTGCTTTTAAGTGTTTTTCTTAAAGGAACCTTGGATGAGAGCTATGATCAATTATGAACCGATAAAAAAACAATTTCACAGTAATATTTCTGTGCATATGAGCAATACTTGTACCAAATTTTATAAGGATATCTTAAGTTAGTAATGAGTTATGCGCGTTTAAATGATTTTCGGGAGGGGAACTTGTATGGGAGCTATGACCAATTAAGGACCGATAGGAATCAAATTTCATAGTAATATTTCTGTGCAAATGAGCAGTACTTATTCCAAATTTTGTATGGATATCTTAATTTCGTAATGAGTTATGCGCGTTTAAGTGATTTTCGGGAGGGGACCTTTTATGGGAGCTACATATGTCCAATTATGGACCGATCCAGAAAAATTTTCTTCCAATGAATTCTATTGACATAAGATTTCAATTTTATTTTTTCGGAGTTGTTTTAAATTTTGATTCATAACTTTTCCCGATGTGAATTGATTTTGCTCTTTTTCAATACCAAACTGTACCGGATAATAATGAATATTTTGGCTGAATTTCGTTAATTTCCATTGCTTTGTTTTAACGTGGGCGTGTTTTACACAGACAGACGTTATACTCGTACTTCTAAAACAGTTTTTTTATATCCTCCACCACCATCAGTGGTGTTAGAGGGTATATATAAGTTTGTCACTTCGTGTGTAACACCAAGAAATATTCATCTGAGACCCAACAAAGTATATATATTCTGGGTTCTTATGAAATTCTGAGTCGATTTAGCTATGTCCGTCCGTCCATCTGCCTAAGTAAAACACGCTCACGTAAAAACGATGCTAAATAAATTAATAAAATTCGGCCAAAAGATTCACCATTGTCCTAGGCAATTTCATAAAAATCAGCACACTTTTGTTTCTGTATGTTAAAAATGGGCGGAATCTATCTACAATTTCATACACCTCCCACACAAATGTCCTTATTCCCGGAAAATTCATTAATTGTTAATAGCTTTCGGTACAATGACAATATCTTTACAAATAAAAGTAAAAGTTTTATGTCAATTGAATTCATATAGAGGAAACATTTTCTGAATGGGTCCATAATTGGCCGTAGCTCCCATACAAGGTCCCCTTCCGAAAATCACTTAAGCGCACATTACACTTCCGTACAAAATTTTACACAAATATTGCCTTTATATACAGAAATGATACTGTAAAATTTGTTCATGTTCGGTTCATATTTGGTCATATCTCCCATACAAGGTCCCCTCCCGAAAATCACTTAAACGCACATAACTCATTACCAAATAATGGCATACTTATAAATATTTCCTTTTGTAGTGCCCAAAATATTACTTGCTATTATGTAGAATTTAAAAATCAATTTTTCATTTTTTTATTTAACAGTTTTTGTTTGTCAATTTTTTTTTTCTAATTATTATTCTAATTTCTTACTTTTTTCTAAAATACAATTGTTTCTTAATATTTTTTTAATAAATTTATAAAAATATAGTTGTGTATAACATTATATATAATTCATTGAACTCCATAAATTGGTGACCCCGACAAAAAACGTAAAAAGTAAATATGTTCCATTCACCATCGCACGGAGAAAGAGAGCCTGCTAATCAAGATCAAATGAATCAAAACATGCAGCAAGCACCTTCGAATCCAACAGTTTGCTCGTCTAATTCAAGAAATGATTCTGTTCAAATTGATGCAGCTTCAACAATCAAGTTTTCTCCCTTTTGGCAAAAGAATCCAAAAGTATGGTTTTTCCAAGTGGTATTGAACTCCATACTTTATATATAGAAAGGATACTGAAAATTTGTTCATGATCGGTCCATATTTGGACTTAGCTCCTATACAAGGTCCCCTCCCGCAAATCACTTAAACGCCATAACTCATTATTAAATAATGGTATGCATACAAATTTTGACACAAATATTGCTTTTTTATATAGAAATGATACTGTAAAATTTTTTCACGAACGGTCCCTATTTTGTCATAGCTCCCATACAAGGTCCCCAAATATTGCTTTTATATGGAAATGATACTGTAAAAGTCCTATACAAAATTTGCCACAAATATTACTTTTGTATACAAAGATGTAATTTTAAAATTGTTTCACGATCGGTCCATATTTGGTCATAGCTCCCGTAGAAGATCTCCTTCAGAAAATCACGGCACATAACTCATTACTAAATAATGATATCCTTACAAAATTTAGCACAAATATTAATTTTGTTTAGCAAAATTGTATTAAAAAAAAATTTACGATCGGCCCATATTTAGTCATAGCGCCTATATAAGGTCACCTCCCAGATATCACTTAAATTCACATTACTCATTACCAAACAATGATATCCATGCACACAGTAAATATATAATCAAAAATTAATATTTCGACTGACATTTGTTTTCTTTAGGTATGGAATCTCAACAACAGAATCAGCAAACTCAGCGTCCATATTTCGACGATATCAACTCTAGAAATGTGACAACAGTAGCCGATGAAACGGCTATTTTAAAATGCCGTGTTAAAAATAAAGGAAATAGAACCGTATCATGGATGCGTAAGAGAGATCTACACATATTAACTACAAATATATACACCTATACAGGCGATCAACGATTTTCTGTGGTCCATCCGCCAGGCAGTGATGACTGGGATTTGAAAATTGAATATGCACAACAACGTGATAGTGGTATTTATGAATGTCAAGTAAACACAGAGCCAAAAATCAATTTAGCCGTTATGCTTGATGTAACAGGTATGGAAACAATAAATTTAAAATTTTTATTCTAATGCCCTACACTTAAAAGACTGTATAAAAATGTAACATATATATCGCTCATTTACTACAAGACCGATATAATCCAAAGAAAATACTATTGATACAAATGACTTTGAATGTTTAATGGCATTTTGCTATTTTTTAATAACATTTAAACAAGACTAGGGATTTGAAAAATTAAGCCAGGTTCAGATAGATGTGTTTAATATGTTTGTCTTTTAAATTAAAATTTACTTTTTATACCCACCATCAAAAAATATGGATGTTGAAAGCACAATAGAGTCCAAACGGAAAGAGTTAGAGAATTGAAAATTATCACAAATATGTATTTATTATAGGCAGCGTTGCCAATTTAGCACTTTTAGTGCTGGATTTAGCACTTTTTAAACTCATTTAGCACCCAAAAATGTAATCTAGCACCTAGCACCTTTTTTTTAGCATTTTTCAAATGTTTTTCGGCACTTTTTTTAGCACATTTTAGGATTTTTTGTACATGCCAATGCCAATTTTATTGTTCTTCTGTAAAAATATGGTTAAAAATTAATCATTAATTAATTATGTACAACATAAAAATTAATGTTTACTGATTATCTGTAGTACTGCTTATCTGTATTTCTTCATATCTAAAATGGCACAAAGCTAAACTAAAATCTTATATTCAATATGCATTTCCAAAAAAATTTTGAATTGTAATTTTCTTTATAAAGGATTTCATTTGTGTCTTCCATTTAGACTTTTAATTAAAAATATCATTATAATTGTAAACTAAATTTCAAAAAATATTCACAACCAAACATTTTTGTGTTACGCATCAACAAACTCATTCAATGGAACGATTTATGCGATTTATGATTCAAATTGTTGAGATTGAGATCAATTTTTAGAAACCGTCAATTATAATTAAAATTTCTTTCAATAAATTCGAGATATTTTTCTACTGGTTTGAAGTAGTTGTTTTTAAAATCTGGTCTAGTATCCCAATGTAAATATTTGTAACAATGGAAATATTGAAAGAAATAATTTCATCGGAACTTTTTAATTACAACATTTTTCGACAGAACTGTTTCGAGAATTAATGGCTATATTATTAGTTGCAATGTCGCAGTTCCAGAATCTGGTTGTTTACTTCCGATATAAAAAATTCAAAAAAATTTATTGAATAAGCATTTCTAATTCCGTATTAAAATCATTGCATAATAAGTGGATTTGGTACGTTTGCGTATTAAGGTAAAAACATTATTTATGCAGTTAAAAAATATCAAAAAATAAAGCTATTTAGAAAAATTCTAGGGGAGCCATATAAAAAATCCTCTTTTGGGGATAAAGTAAGAATCGAAAAATTCTAAAACTAGTTATAATAAACAGTTTGTTCTGTATTAAAATCGACCCATAATAAGTGGAGTTGGTCCATTTGCGTACTAAGCTAAAAATATTATTTATGTAGTTTATTTTAAAAACTAGCTGCGTGTACTCGGCGTTGCCCGGGTTTCTTAGAAAAGTAAAGAGAATATTTTTCTGTAATGATTTTTTTGAAATAGATATCAAAATTTAGTTTATGACGATAAAATAGTTATTATCTTTTTCCGCCTTCTTTAATCCTTAAAGCCAGTTTCTGGACCAAAAAGTCCCTTAAAAATGTTTGAATTGAAAATGAGCTTAAATTAGGAAATTTTGACTAATTTGTAGAAAAATGTAAGGAACTTTTTTTGAGAAATTATACTCAAAAAAGCATTTTAAATCACTGGTGGGGAACTAAGGACACTTTCAAATTATTTGTTTTATTTTTTCCATGTGCAGTAGATATAAAGAACTGTTCAATTTAAATTAGGTCACACCGTACTTCGAATTGTAAAGAGGTAAAAGTCTTCGTAGGCATTTTATTAATTTCAAAAATACGTACCATTAACCGTACAAAATTTCAAGCGATTTTTTTGCTGTTTGAAAAAGTACATGCATTTGAAACAAGTAAGAGTGTTATATTCGGCTATACCGAATCTTATATACCCACCATCAAATCACTGCCATATAAATAAACTTTGATATTTTGAATATTTTATTATTATATATCGATACTAATGTGAACATCAGGGTAATATTTGAAATAGTTCTCTTAATGGGGGTTCAACTATTGACAGTAAAGATTTCGGATTTGAGGGTAGTTCTACTTATATTTTTAAATAATGAACATTAAAGTCATTTTCTTAAAGGGACCTTATACAGGGTTAGGGTTAATTATGGACCGATCCTCATAAGAGAGATTTTAGCTTAAAATTAGTTTATGTCGAATTGCATTGCGGTATTCGTATTTTCAGCCATTTAAAGTAATTTTCTTAAGGGGACCTTATATAGGGGCTAGGACTAATTATTAACCGATCATCCTTAAATCTCGTAGAACGATTTTTATTTATACAAATCATATTTATGTAAAATTTCCAACCTGTAATGAGCGTTGTAATCATTTTCGGATGGGTAATTATAGACTGGTCCTCATAAAAATTGGTAGAGAGATTTCGATTCCTATAGAAAATATCAGTGTCGAATTTCATCGCTGTACTCGCATTTTTAAGCCAGTAATGAGCGTTAAAGTATTTTTCTGATAGGGGCCTTAAATGGGGGGTATGGGCCGACCCCCACAACATTTTGTAGAGAGATGTTAGCTCATGCAAATCTAGTTTATGTCGAATTTGATTGATCTACTAGTATTGTTAAGCCAGTACTTTCATTTTCCGAAGGGGCCTTATATGGGGGAGGGTCACTTATAGACCGATCCTCGTAAAATTTTGTAGAATGATCTTGGTTCATACAGGTCATGTTTTTATCGAATTTCATCGCTTTACTCATTTTTTAGGCCAGTAATGAGTGTTAAATTATTTTTCTGATGGTGGCCTTATATGTGGGGGTATTAAGGCCCTATCCACAAAAAATTTGGTTAAGAGATTTTGGCTCGCAAGGAACTTACTTGAGTCGAATTTCATTGCTATACTCGTATTTTTAAGTCAGTAATGGGCCTTAAAGTAATTTTCTGAAGGGGACCTTATTTGGGGGGTAGGATCAATTATAGACCGATCCACATAAAATTTGGTAGAGAGATTTTGGCTTGTATAAAACTTACATCTGTAAAATTTTTTCGCTGTACTCGTATTTTTAAGCCAATAATGAGCGTTAAAGTAATTTTCTGAAGGGAACCTTATATGGGGTGAAGGTCAATTATGGACCGATCCACATAAAATTTGGTAGAGAGGTTTTGGCTAGTATAAAACTTACTTCTGTTAAATTTCACCGCTATAGTCGTATTTTTAAGCCAGTAATGAGCGTTAAAGTAATTTTATGGAGGGGACCTTATATGGGGAGTAGGGTCAATTATGGACCGATCCACATAAAATTTGGTAGAGAGGTTTTGGCTAGTATAAAACTTACTTCTGTTAAATTTTACCGTTATAGTCGTATTTTTAAGCCAGTAATGTTAAAGTAATTTTATGGAGGGGACCTTAATTTGGTAGAGAGGTTTTGGCTAGTATAAAACTTACTTCTGTTAAACTTCACCGCTATAGTCGTATTTTTAAGCCAGTAATGAGCGTTAAAGTAATTTTATGGAGGGGACTTTATATGGCTCGCATGAAACTTATGTGTGTCGAATTTCATCGCTATATTCGCATTTTAAGCCAGTAGTCATTTTCTAAAGGGGACCTTATATGGGGGGAAGGGCCAATTATGATCCTATGTCCGCCATAATTCAGAATTTTATTTCAGACGTCAAAAAACTGACCTATGCGAAATTTTGTGGTATGTGCTTCATAAACAACGAATTTGTGAATGTTTGAAGCTCTTTATACAATATTCCGGGGGGTACATTTATATGGAGGCTATGTGAAATCGTTGACCGATTTTGCCCATTTTCAATACCAAACATTTCTGATCAATAAGATATATTTTGGGAAAATTTCATCTCAATATCTCTTTTTTTATAGACGCTATCGTGCCAACAACAGACAGACGGACATAGCCTGATCGTCTTAGAATCTTAAGAGGTCCCAGAGTATATATATACTTTATGGGGTCTGTGAACATTATTTCGATGTGTTACACCCCATCTTTTTTAATGGTGGGTATAAAAACTCTGAAACGATTATGAAAAATTCTGCACAAAATCATGAAAAATTTGCGCTCATTGATTTCAAATTCCTTTAAAAAGAAAAAAATTGCGTTATTTGCTGTCCTAGGAAAATATGAAGAATCCTTGTTCTTGGTAGAGAAAACAAAACTACTTTTAATTTGACAAACAATTGCAAAGTGTACATTAAAGAGTAAAACCATCTTTTTCGCATTGTTTCTCAAAAATACATCCATATATAAAGGGTATGTGTAGGGTATAAACACCACTATAGTGGGAAGGGTATTATGCGTTTGTGCTGATGTTTGTAACGCATTAAAATATTAGTACTATACCTTCAAGTATACCGATCGACTCAGAATCACTTTCTGAGTCGATTTAACGATGTCCGTCCGTCCGACCGTCCGTGTGTCCATGTAAACGTTGTTATCAAAGTACAGGTCGCAATTTTTAAGATAATTTAATGAAATTTGGAATACACGTTTGTTTTGACAAAAGGACGAAGCCTTCCATCGGTCCATTATTTCACCTAGCCCCCATACAACTAAACCCCCGATAAGGGCTTCTGAGCTCATAGTTATGTATAATATAAATGTATCTCGATAAAAGTTCGCACAACTACGTTTTATGCAAGCCTTGATCGGACTTCATTTGACCCTAGCCCCCACACAAAGCCCCCTTCAGAAAGTGACTTGAATATCCGCAATTCATTTATTTGCACTGTTATTGCAATGAAATTTAGCACAGTCAAATAATATATATACAGTCAAATATATATATATATATATATATATATATATATATATATATATATATATATATATATATAAATCTATATATTATTTGACTGTGCTAAATTTCATTG